GACTTGTATTATATTAAACTGAACTTCCAATTTTCACCACTGATCGGCGCCAAGTAACCTTTCCTCTGATCACAGCTTGCTTGGGCTCGCAATGAATCCTGGGATATCCAAGAATACCGAGGATACATCAGACCCAAAATGAAGGACGCATTTTAAGGCCGCATAACGAAGACTCTTGGAATCCGACCAGACCTCGGCGCCGCGCTATGACGTAATCGGCCTTCGAATCCAGTCTTCTAAGGATGTGTCCTAGGTTTTCGAACAGAGCCATGGTGGCGACATGAGACATGCCAAACATGGTAGCAAATGAACAAATGACTCATCAGTCATTAAACGCAGCCTGCATCCCAGTCACTGCACTGCATGACCATCATGTCCTCCATGACGCCGACCCTTCGTTCCTCAAGGCTGCAGCCGAACCCAAACTATCAGGGATTCAGGTGTGGTAAAATGCTGGACGCTCAGAGGTACAATAACCGCATTCTGCTGTTCTGGTTCTATTGAGCACATCCAGAACCCCCCCCCACCCAGACTAAGACCACCAGCTTCTCCTGTGATGCTCGACACCATTTCTGTTTCATCCAAGAACAGAAGTAGGAGCTGCTGGTTCCTCTGTGATTCTGGACCTTCCTGTTCTGACTCAAGTTTAAAACAGCTGTTAAAACGATAACATTCATCTGTAATCTGGGATTATATTGTAACTCAAACATTTGGAGCCCCTCGGTTTAAATTCCCACTTTAATGTTAAAAAGAAACATTTTGACTAAATCTTTTCTGCTCTTCGCCCTTTTGAAACGGTGAGGAGGAGCGTAGCTTTGCTCCCAGCGGTTCCTCCTGTCAAATGGATCATACTGGGATTTCAAACAGAACCATCAGAATCCGTTTAGTTTCTTTATTTAAAGTCAAAATCAAGAAGAATGCAAAACCAGACATGAAAGCTCATAAACAATATAAAAATAGCTGAGATGTGTCCGAGCAGCAGGATGTGATGAAGAGGAACAAACGCGGCGCTGCATTTTACATGTTGTCTTCATCGGAGTCATCCTCCTCCTCTAGAGAATCCTGGAAGACAAAGCGGGTCAGAGTGAAGTCCAACCTCAGGAACGTCCCCCATAGAGGGACCCCAGTCAGATCAGATGATCCCGGTTTAATCTAACAAATGTTATTAGCGGGATTAGGTTAATCTGAGCCCAGGATTAGAAACACGTTAAAGCTGAACTAGGCTCTGAGCTGTGGACCGGATTCGCCATCAGGAAGTATTTGAATCATGCAGGTCCAACACTGGAGGACACATCATTCTGTTTAAAGACCAGGTGAGGATCAGGATAAAAACTGAATTAGGTTCAGATTTCCCATTTCAGACCTGTTCACCATCAGTCCAATCAGGTTTTCTACTCAGACCTTTGACCTATAAATATTAGTTTAAAGGAATAGTACACCCAAAACATGATTAGCCTTCATTTTCTACTCACCCCCATGCTGAACAACACTCTGGAGTACTTTTTTGATATCTCAAATGCATCTGGAGATCTGGGAGGCTTCTTGCTGTCTGCTGACATTCAAATAATGGAGGTCTATGGTGCCCGAGGCAGAAAGGTCCATAAAAGTCCACAAAAAACGTGTCAATATTCCTCCATACTGCTCGTCCAATGTATTCCAAGTGTCCTGAGTGGGTAGCGTCCAGAATTTACTCGAAACGAAGTCATTTAGAATGTTTTTAGAGCATAAACAGTAGTGTATAGGATTTCCTGAAAGCGCGTTCACGAGTCTACGGAAACCGCGGCAGACCAAACCAGATGAAAGTGCGCATTCAGCTCGGCAAAGAACTCATGCTCTTCCTCAACACTGAAGTCCTCAGACATTTTTCTTTCGTTGTTTCTTTCTTTGCACAGGTAAACAGCACATTTCTTCTTCTACGCTTGCATTATCGGCAGAGCAGACGCTGAATGCGCACTTTCATCTGGTTTGGTCTGCCGCGGTTTCCGTAGACTCGTGAACGCGCTTTCAGGAAATCCTATACACTACTGTTTATGCTCTAAAAACATTCTAAATGACTTCGTTTCGAGTAAATTCTGGACGCTACCCACTCAGGACACTTGGAATACATTGGACGAGCAGTATGGAGGAATATTGACACGTTTTTTGTGGACTTTTATGGACCTTTCTGTCTCGGGCACCATAGACCTGCATTATTTGAATGTCAGCAGACAGCAAGAAGCCTCCCAGATCTCCAGATGCATTTGAGGTATCAAAAAAGTACTCCAGAGTGTTGTTCAGCATGGGGGTGAGTAGAAAATGAAGGCTAATCATGTTTTGGGTGTACTATTCCTTTAAGTTAAAAAAATATCTTAGGCTCAGGTGATTAATAAATAGGAATATAAAGACGTCTGAATGAAAGCGGAGGAATAAACCTCAGGCTGATCAATGATCGATTGTTTCATCGATATCGTCTCACCTTAGCGTATTTCTCTGCTTCCTCCTTGATGTCTTTGGGAACCAACTCATGTCGTCCGTTTGTCACTGCGGAACAGAGAAAGCGGATCAGAGGCGTTACCATGGCAACAAGATGCGCGATGGGCAACAGACACATGAAGGTAAAGGCGAGAGATCAGCAGGAGCCGCCGCACAGAAACCCTCTGAGCTCCTGACGCCTAGAAGACGTTTTATTGAATTTTTTTTGTTTGTTTTTCATTAGAAAAAGTCATGAACTGAAAGATATTTCATGTTATTTTGATGAAAAAAAGCAACTCAAACATATTTAAAGTTTAATGCACAGATATGGCTTAATTCATGCACACTTTGCATCAGGAAATATTACAGCATTAATAGACTTGATGTAAAATTTATTAATGATTATAACAATGGAATAAATCCATGTATATTAAAAAAACATCAACTGTATTATTCTGCTCCATTAACAGATTAATGTTATTGTGATTGATTTGTATAATATGTTATATTATATAATTTATAGACTTCATAATGACTGTGCAATGTGATGGACTTTTCTTTTTATAATAAGTTAAAGTTAATCTACTGACGCTATGAAACAGCCAGTCTGTGTCAAAGTGATGAATTTATCTTTATCTTAAAAGTCTTCAGTCCCTGAAAATAAGAACATCATGGTTGTTCGATGCTGCAGCGCATTGATTATTTACATTAAGACCGGTGTAACTAGGGAGTACCAATATGGCGGCCGGTGGCTTCACTTTAACCCTGTACTACCAACGGCCAATCAGCAATCCAGGGACCAAATAGAGATCAGTGATTGTTCTGCAGGTTTAGAGGAGGTCGGTTTCTAAAGCAACCAGAAGCTCGTACCTTCTCCCACCCAGCTGAGCTCCAGCTCAAACGCTTTGTCCTTCACCTCATCGTGGACGATGTAGATTCTGTCAAAGGAAGCAGAAGAGAGCTGAACCAACCGGCTCAACCATGACAGCGCTGGCCCCGCCCTCCATGCTGAGGGCCTGATGGAGAAGATCCATCCGACTTTAATCCTCTTTGCTTTCAATGATTCATTACAAGAGAATAAAATGATTATTGTTCTAAAAGAAGATCAGGCTGAATTAGTTTCAATCTGAGGATGGAGGAAACGCAGATGCTTCTGGTTCCTACAGCTTCAGGGTTTTACTCACATTTTGGCGACTTCTTTGACCAGCTCTCTGCACGTCATGTCTTTCATCTGTTGGAGGATAAGAAGAGTTCAGAGATCAGAGCAGGGAGTTAGCAGGTCACCTTCAGGCTGGTCGGCTCCCTCCCTCCCTCCCCCCGCCTTCATCCCGGGTCAGGCGGCCATGCTGGTCCGAGCAGCGCTAACCCCTCTAAGCTAGCTGGTTCTGTGGAGCTCAGATAAAAAACTAAAGGGAAACTTCTCACCTGCAGCTTCTCGATCTCCGTCTTAGCAGCTTGTTTGGCTTTTCCGATGGCACAACCCCAGTAACCCTGAACACACATGGAGGTTAGTCTGCTGCTCCCCCCCCCCACTCGCTCACCCACTCCCACTGAGACTCACGTGAGAGATGCCGGACGGGTCGACCATGTAGAGCTGCGGACCGTCGTCTTTGTCGTAGGAGCCCAGGATGAAACTGAGGGGTCAGACAGACGACGGCGCGTTAGAGAGAAGCATCAGCTGCCGTGTCCGTCGGAGCCAATCTAACACATGCATTTCTAGGTGCTGGGATCAAGGTTCCTTCTGCTCCGTGTGCTAAAGATTATGTTCAGGCTGATGGATGGCACCCATGACCAACAACCTGTAAACATCTACGGCGCTGCAGGAAAACCGTTCTTACTCTTAACTCTTCAACAGGAGCTCAGATAAAGGGAGAAGAACCTGAACAGCTGGATCTCCTGCACCCGCAGGACTGCAAGATTATTCCAGATGTTTTAATCGACGCATTCAGGGAAAGTTTGTATGAGCTGCTAGATTTTATTAGGAGACTTTTTTTTTCTTCTTGTGAGGTGAGAGCTCACTTAGATCTGCCTCCTCGCCACTTAAAGACCAAGAAAATCAGGTTTTATCATTTTTGGGTGATTTTCTTTCATTTATTCCAACATGATGCGTCTCTTCCAGACGGATGTTTCTCCTGCTGGAGCTTCACCTAAAGTTAAACGCTGCATCATGCTGGGAAATCTGCTGCTCCCACAATAAAAACACTTCCAAGAAAATTAAATAGACATTTCAAAGTTTGTTTTCTGTCTACCGTTTTCTCAGGTGTCGTGGAAAATTAAACTGCAGTTATTGTCTATTGTGGTTTATTATGGAGGTATTCAGTAATTCACTGAATATAGAAAACTGCCAAACACACGTTAGAGACGACTTTATAATAGAACTGAGTTCATTTTGACATTTTCTTGCGATTGCTTTACCTTAACAAGTTGAAATGGAAAGATATTATATATAAATCATTAAACACATGAATAGAGAAAAATATTTCTATTATGGAAACCCAGGAAATGAACACAGAACGTAAAATATTCCTAATATACTGGCTTTAATTTTACTTCACTTTTACTTGGAAAGGTTTGGATAAACTTCCAGTCCTCCCAGTGCAGCTCTGCAGATTAAAGGAGGCGGATCTGCGTCCAGCAGGAGGGAATTTGGATTAGTAGTGAAACACGGTTGAAAAAGGCCCCGGGGCCCCTCAGAGCCAAAGATTCAGCCTCTTCATTTAGATCAGCTCCAACTTTTCCACTCCAGCATCGTGTCCTGCAGAGGAACCGATGGAGGGAATCGGGTTCTGCTCACATCCTCACCATTCAACACCTTTTCACACCTGATAGTGAATTTTTTTTTCAATATTTGAGGCTTTAGGAAGCAGCGATGACTCTGACTAAACCAGTATTTTGGCTAATGTGGCTTATTTGTTCTGGTTTGCCCTCATAGAAATAGAGATTGGGTAAAAACTAAATTAAATTAAATTGGTTGGTTGGTTTAGCCAAAGGATCCGTTGAACAAATAACTTCCAACCAGATTAAAACCAAAAACTGTGGAAAAATTATGTTGAATAAAAATGACTAAAACCTTTTATTTTGCCCAAGTTGCCCACTTTCACTGCCTGCTTGAACTTATTTCACTAAAATGGCAGAAACTATGAACCTTAAATCATTTCTCTTTTTAAACACTCTTTTTGTATTATTTTACAGACCAATAATTAACAATTTTAAATGATATTAAATAGGGAAAATAGACAAAAAAAAAAAAACAATTGCAAAACATCACAGATTCTATTACTAACTGTAGTTCTAGATTCCACCAGTAGGTGGTGGTGAACTTTGATTAGCCCAAACGGTTCAATGCTTCATGAAGCTTCATCTCCCCATCACTCCTTTAAGCTAAATTCATTTATTAATATAAAGTGAAGCATTCATTTAAAAAATATATAATAATCCATTTTTAATGTACTTTAAATTAATTTGTCCATTTTGCAATTTAAGCGTATATTTAATGAGTATTTTGCACATTGTATGAATAAATAAATGTATTAATTTCATGAGATCAACATTTAATTCTTTATGGTTTTGCTGGAATAAATTAAAAGGATCAATAAAATATTGGATTAATAAGAAGAATGAAGATTATTATTGATAAATCGGGAGAGTGGCGGCCTCTAGTGGTCAGGGCATAGGGCTTTGAATCCTGAGGTTGTGAGTTCGATCCCCCACTCCCACAGACTGCCACTCTGGGTCCCTGAGCCAGACCCTTAACCCCACACTGCTCCCCGGGGGGAGGGGTTTAAATGCAGAGAGTCATTTCCGTCTGGGATTAAATCAAATATATCGATGCCTTTATGTCGTCCGTAACGTCTCAGCAGATTAACTGGACGCCTGTTCGTGCTTTAAGCTGTAATAAAATGGCGTCTTCCATTCATTATAAAAACAAAACAGGATTAATGTTACAGCTCTGTTCAGTTGGAGCTGATCGAATCGCTGACCGTCTCCAGAAAGTTTGACAATCTGTGGTTTATCCCGCATCAGGGACAGTTTAAGAGTCTCACTGATCACATCGAAGGTGGTTTTAAAGTGAAGCGGCGCCTCGGGCCGCATATTAACCAGGTCTGACTGAGGTATGAATGAGGAGGAGAATAACAGGAAGAAAGGTTTGCCTCACCTGCAGCCGAACGGCCTCACGGCGCTGTACAGCGTGTAAGCGTGGACGTACATGGCCACTCTGTCTGACAGGTGCTGCAACAACAGCAGAGGAAAGCCTCAGACACGCCGTCGGCTTCTAAACGGGAAACGCTTGGCTGCTGCGTTTACCTTCAGAGGAATGTCGTGTCCGTAGTTTGATCTGAAGTTGGAAGCTTCTTCTCTGGCTACCTCGGCCAGGGAGCGAGCGTCCGCCAACAGGCCCGCCACCGCCTGGAGGAGCACAGGGAGCAGAAATGTTCTCCTAAAACAGCCGTTTCAACGTTTATTATATCCTCATCTGAGAAGAAATCCGAGCTTTTGTTGATGATGGAATAAAAAAAAAAACAACCTTTGAACAATTTCTAACCAACTAACCAACAGGCTGGACAATAACCTGCATTAGCAGAATAATCACAATAGAATCAAATCTATTTCTGAATCAGAGAAGAACTTAGTGAGCTTCCTCCCTGTTCTATGCAGCGCTTAGCTTAGCGAGGGTTGCTAACCAAAATCACTCAGCTCTAGATGGACCTACAGGAATCTGCCGCATCTTCTGCTCCAACATTTAACCCTTTATAAGGTGAAAAGCTTTGAACATTTCCAGCCAATAGTGTTATTGGAGGCTCCATTTATAAGGCAAGTGATCAAAGACGCTAACTTGCCCTATAAAGGGTCAACAGCAAAGTTTCCATTCAGGTTTTTATGCCACTTTGGAAGACTGTGGAATGGAAGAAGGATCCAGATCTTTTCAGCAGAACCTGAATGTCTCTGAATGTCTCTGAATGTTCCTGAATGTCTCTGAATGTTCCTGAATGTCTCTGAATGTCTCTGAATGTCTCTGAATGTCTCTGAATGTTCCTGAATGTCTCTGAATGTTCCTGAATGTCTCTGAATGTCTCTGAATGTCTCTGAATGTCTCTGAATGTTCCTGAATGTTCCTGAATGTCCCTGAATGTCCCTGAATGTCTCTGAATGTCTCTGAATGTTCCTGAAGTTCTGTGTCATTTCGCTAAATAAAGGCTTCACTGCGCATCCAGAACACATCCAGTTTTCTATCATCCATCATGATCACACATCTAAAGGGGAAGATATGAGCTTCTCTTGTGGAGGATCGAGGCTTCATTTACCAAATGAACCTGAACTCTTTCACTTACAGGTTTTATAAAGTGAACTATGAACTTTAAGCTAGTTCATTTTAACTCTGAACTGACATATCACTGGCTACCATGTTGATATTGCAAACACGTTTTTACGCCTCCGTCCTGAAAGAAAAACTAAAAGCACGTTAGTCTCTTTTCTCCAGTTAACGATTAATCGATTATTAAGTTAGCTTTGATTATTTAAATAAGTGATTAATCAGATTGATTGTTTGAGCTCTATAACACAATCACTAAAACGTTTCTGATCTGTGGCCGTGCTAGCTTGCTACCATTGGTTCCTGTTTATTAAGACCTGGAATAATCTCAACATACCACAACATTACGCTTTAAACGCGTTTAAGAGTTGGCTTGGTTGGTTCTCTCCATCAGTGTAACTGGATTGAAAAGGCGGCGTTTGGGCAGAGGGATTATTTTCATATTAGGAGGAAACTAAGAGAGGATCCTGCAAACAGCAGAACATGTTAGGATGTGTCGCTGTTTGCTTTAAGAGGGACGGCTGCTCTTCACTAACAGCAACAAGAGGAAAGGGCCTCATCTAGAAACCAGCCTGCTGGAGGAATCCAGGGGCACTAACTGCTCAAAATGGACGACAACCATCAACGTACGACACACTTAGTCCAGATAACATCTGTGGGAAGAACTGTGAAGGTTTGTGTGAATCAGAACCTCCTCAATAGATTCTTTCACATCAAAGATAAAGTCAGATTTTTGATTTCTGACCAAAGCATTAAACGGTCTTTTCCTTCTGTTCAGATGAGAATATTCTGCAAATATGTTCCTAATCTTTAATTGTAATTCCAGTAAATAAAATTAGGTTAGCTTGACAGAGTGTAAAACCTGAACTAAACACAAAAGTTGATCATTCAGTCCATCAGTAGAGCGGATATAATCAAAGACATAAATCCTCTCTGATTTTAGCGCCACAGTCGGCCTCGCTTCAACAGCTACATGAATCTAGAATCACTCCAATCATCTGTGCAGTTGAGGGTTAGGAAACCATCTACGTTACCATGCCAACGTGTCTGTCAATGTTAAAGATGCGCTTATTAGAGCCCTCCTCGTAGAGTTTGGACAGGACCAGTTTCTCCACCCCGAACACCACGCCGTCCTTACAGCGGATCCCGATGGCGGTGCTGCAGACAAAGCATTCAAAGCTAACAGGGTCGTTCTTGACATCATCCAAACCTGGACGGCTTGAAGAAAAGGTGCAAAGCCTGACCAGTGACGAGCAAACGGAGACTCACCTGCTGTTCTCTACAGCCTTCATGGCGTACTCCACTTGAAACACGCGGCCATCCGGAGAGAAAGTGGAGGCAGACAGGTCGTACTGCAGCAAACAGAAAGGCTACGTTAGTGCTGAGAAACATGATCCTGAACACAGAGATTTAACAAACACGTTCCCTGAAATGGTTCCAATACGCTTATCAGTTTTACTAATACAACGCAAAAATCAAACCCTGACTGATAGAAGTAAATTTATTTCTGTTGGTTTCCATGAGTTTAACTTACAGGTAATAAAAAAATCCCAAATCAGTGTTGCCAACTTGGAGCTTTTGTCACTAAAACTAGTTTCTTTATTTATTTTAATTGCCTAGTGCCAAATAAAGTGTCTTTTTTTCCTGTGTAAATGCATGATGATGTCCGCTGTCATCGTGCAGAGCAGGAAGAGACAGAAAACCTTTCTACTTTCTATCTCCATTGCAAATGAAATGTGCAAAACTGCTGCTGATCCCCTAGATTGAAAAATTTAATCATGAAATTAATGTTTAACTGTTGTAGGAATTCAAAATCTCCTGCAGCCGGATGATATGATGTAAGCAAATTAGGCGATGATGTCATCTAGCGCTTTTTTAGGACATCCAAAAGCTATTTTTCTTGCAGAGAAGTTGGCAACACTTTCCCAAATTTAGTAGCTTATACCAGAGAAGACAGACAGTTGGCTGCAAGATGCCAATTTCTACGGAACATTTATTTATGTTTAAAAAACTGTGTGAAAGTTTGTCTTGTTTGTTTTTACTGAAGGAAATGTAGCTTTTTATACCAGATTAATGGTTCATTGACCAAAGCTCTGTCCATTCATTAATATGCACTGTTCCATTTCATTTGACCAATAATTCATAGACAAATAAAGGTTTGATAAAGAAAAATATCCATTTCTATTTGCTTCTGGAGGTTCAGCTGAAGCCCAGGCTGCTTCATGAAGGTGATCCATGCAGGTATTGGTACTTTAAAGAGTGCAGAAAGGAACCAGATGGAAAATGAAACCAGCATCTCCATGAAGCTTCTTGCTGTGAAGAGAAGTATGTAGACCTGGCCAAACAGAGTGGACCATCACCAGCAGATGTCATAGAATCTATGACATAGATCCTCAAACCATGGCTTGGCTTCTGAGGCCACCTTTTCCTTTAAGCTTTGGGATCTTGATTTCAGCATAACTTCCATGTCAGATCTGATAGTCTCGTTTATTTACCGAGTTTTTAATGAATGAGCTCTAAACTAAAAACCATCTGCGGTGCATCACTTTAAGTAGACGTAAAAAACATAAAAAAATACTATTTTGAGTTGCACTACATTTTGGTTATTTGGATTCATGTAATTCACTGTGTGTGAATTTTTATACATGTGAACTAAAGTTTTAATAAATCTATAAATACATGTATATGTTATCCTGCTGATGCACATCATGCCAAGACCACAGACAGATAACTGAAAATAAACTGAGGATTAACAGCAAACAACAGGTGAACTTACTTTAATTAGACGCCGAATGAAGCAAAACAATCTAAATAATCACTTTAAGCTGTAAGGCGAATTTTTCATTGAGAGATGAACAACTCCAACTAAAATCTGATTTCTTAAACACAGAGTCTGGCGTGCAACGTAGCTAGCTGTTAGCATTAGCATTAATTCAAGTACATTTATCGAATGAGATGCAAGATTCGGTAAATATTTTTTGTTTTGTCAAATCATAAGTCAACAAAGCTTCGCCAAAATAGAAAAACATCAATTAGAAATAAATCGAGGAGGGACTTTACTTTCACTTTAGCCTGTGCTAACAGGCCGGTCTGTGACTCAGCAGGCTAACTAGATGACTAGCTTCCAGGAAAAGGCTTTTTTAGAAGTCAAATATAATTATGGTTTTAAAATACAGCAAACTTAGAAAACTTCAAACCCAGTAAAAATGAAATACAGGTGAAAATAAACTGTAAATTACTCACTCCGGTTCCAATGGAGCTCATTTTGACACCAACTGTGAATTCAGCACACCTCTCTACCACTCTGCCTCTTCCTGAGAAATAAACATGGCTTCCGGTCACGGCCTTCAAAATAAAAGCGCATAACTCAACTTCTTTTTTGTTATTGAAAAAATTTAAAACATTTATACAAAAAAAATTAAGACAGATAAATGAGAAACATAATTGCAATAAGTGAAAAAAATAATCAAGGCACAAGGTAAAAAAAAAAAAAAACATTTGCGGCCTTTGTTAGTTTAAGGGATTTTAAAAAAGCATTGTTAAAATTCCAGAAAAGTTTTATAAATTTTAACCCAACAACTTTATCTTTTCCCTAAACAACTAGATCTCATCTAAAACCTTTTTTTGTTTTTCCTTAAACTGACTGTTAGCGTTATATAATTCGCATTGTTTAGCTGATCATTTATTTTGTCATGCTTTTTTACACAATTACACAGTAAAAGATTGGGTGTTAAAAATTCATTTAACATATTTAACTCTAGAATATTTACATCTATACTAAGAGTAAATCTGCTCAAGTGTTGGAGTTAAAAATCTGTGTAAAAATTGACAGCATTGCAGAGTAACTTTTACTCTATGTGGTGTTGATTTCCCGCCAGTCTGATCATGGGCGGATATAGGAAATGTGGGGCCCTAGGCAAAGACAGGCAGGGGGCACTCTGAACAGAGAACACATCAAACAGCCCCATTATCCAGATAGAGAAATGTTAATAGAATAGACATCCATTATCTGTTCTAGGTTGTGTCCCTCTCTTCTTGTCCCTTTTCTTCTTGTTTTCCTCTCTATGTTTTGTACTCAGCTGACTTTTCATGCTGTCTCTAAAGGAATGAAAGATTTTTTCCAAGCACTAAGCTCACTTAGCTGATTGCTCCTTCCTGTGTTTCCAAAAAGGCCAAAGTAAATAACCCAGTCCTTCTTTTCACTGTAGACAAGCCATGATCTGCTTATCTGTTCTCCATTTTTCATTTGGATGAAATAATAGCTGCATGAATCATGACAGCAGACAAGATAGAGGAGAGCAGGAGGCGGGGTTACCAATCTACTCGCTCTGGAGAGCAGAGTTCGCTGCTTTTAGATGTTGTCTCCAAAGTCTCCAGTAGCAGAAAAAAGTCTCTAGATTTGGCGCTAGGAGCTTTTTAGAAATCAAAGTGCTAGAGGGGTCTGAAAAGTGGCTAAATATAGCGACTAAAGCGCTAAGTTGGCAACACTGCTCTTTGCATGGTTTGTTTTCAAATGGTTTGCTGCTGTCTGATTGGACCTTTCTGAACATGTGCAGCAAATGGACTGATCCAATATGGTGGACACTGAAGGGAGGGGGGGGCTTAGACACACTTAATAGAAGGATTTTTATCAAAAACATAATGTGCACAAAAAAGGAATAGTTGTATTAACCATACATGGAAACAGAGTTTTATGGCCCCAGGATTTAAATAAGCTTTATAAAGCAGTTCCATTAACTTCATCCTACTGGAATCTTTCATTTAGCACTAAACCAAGTTAAACTTAAGTTTAAGAGCTTATTGTTGCATTGTTCCGCTTTCATTTCCATACCCCCTTACTGTTCTCATTCGTTTGTGTTCAAAAGTTTTATTTATAATTTCCTGCATTGTGTTCTACATTCTTTAATAAAGGGAGGAGAAAAGGATGGGATAATATTAAGAACCAGGCGGGAATATTTCACCTATACAAACTTTTATTTACTCTACATATTAGTGTGATATATGAAATACTGGGAGACGGTCTTCTTCACTGGAAACTGACTCTGCAGATCATTTAAGCCAAGCCATTTCTAATAGTCTGTTGGATGTTACGGTTCTGTGGGTCAGAAAACCCCAATATTAGCCCGATAATATAGAAATCAGATGTCTGAATGTTTTGGAAATGTTTCCTGCAGTTGGACGGCACCAGAAAATCATTCAGAGACAGCGTTTGTAAGAAAAGTGTCCATAAAGTTTAATTGAATCCGGATGGCTGTGGTGGATTACAGACCTGCTGAAGATTAAACAAGTAAAACGTTCAAATTTCAAAATCAATCATTTAAATCTGCACCGTTTCATCACATCGCCGTTAATAATCGTTCATCTTTAATTGGTGATGGAAGCTTTGGTCACAAAAGAGTGAAAAAAAACAAACATTCATACAAAGGAAAATAATACAAAAGCAAACGTGCATTCTGAAGTTTTCTCTCTTCGTTTTGAAAAGTCAAACGGAACGACTGACATTAAGGCAAACAGAGTGAAGCTCCACCATCGACTGGAATGGAAAACAGAAGCATCTCTAGACAGAACCGAAGCAACAGACGATTAGCATTCATTGGTTAATACAAACAAGTACAAGTTGTGTTTCATAGATTTTTCTTCTTCTTTAATGACACCAACTAGAACAGGTACTAAGAGCTGGCTCCCATCAGCTGAAACACATGGAAACAGCTCCCAGGTATACAAGCATCGCCATGACAACCGAGGAGGGCGGCGTGGACGGGTAACAACAAAACTTCTCATGTGTAAAAAAAAACAGAATAGAAACCTTTGAAGTACGTTTGTCGTTACTATAGTAACCGTCCAGCTAAGGTCAAATATGTAACATATTTAATCAGGAGAAAATATGGAAGGAGAACATGTGAGACGCTAGAAACGGTTGGGTTTCATGTTCCAGTGATGTTTGCTTTATTACTTGATATGTTGTTTTTTCTCATGGAGTTTGATTTCTTTCAGTAGAAAATAGTTTCACCTTTAGACCCTGGAGGTCACCCAGGAAGACCCACAGGATGCTTCGTACCTCGCTCTACATCTCTATGTGTCTGGTTGGTTTATAGCGAGCGTGGATTAGTGATCTAACAGATTTATCAGCTCTTTGCATCTATCTTCAGATTATAAGGTATTTCATTTAGGCTATTTAAAAGAGTTCTTAGTGCTTAAACTCAGCAGCACTACTGATGGTTTGTCCTACAGCCGAGGAGCTGCACTGGATCCAGACTGCAGAGATCAGATGAACCGGATTTTTCTGTGGGTAATCATACTGGATTACTTTTTAATGAAGGACATATTTAGGGGAAATAAAGGCTGTAAATGGACTTCTGGTTCTACTAGTCTAGAATAAAAGCACAGCAGGAGTGTTGCATGGCTTGCATTCGGCCGGTAGGACCAGTGAGGTTCTGATAATCAACCAGAACAAGCATGGTGTGTCTTTAGAGGGTGGGGGGGTGGTGGTGATAAGGAAAACAGACTTGGTGTCATTTGCGACCCTCGGCTGTTGGTCTGGTCCGCGGTTCTCAGTGTTTGTCCGTTCCTGCAGGCTCCGCCCTCACAGCGGCGTGTCCAGCTGGCTGCAGGCGGGTCGGACGGTTAAGTGTTGCCTTTCAGGACGCCTACGCAGCTCTGCAGGAGCTGCAGGTTTCCCTGCAGGCAGGAGAGGAAGGAAAAAAACAGGGAAATGGAAATTCAACGTTAAATTTTATCACTTTTTTCTGAGGTTGCGACTTTTTTCTCATAATGTTACGAGATTATTCTTGTAATATTATGACTTTGTTCTAAGAATGTTGTGACTTTAGTTTTTTTTTTAAATCTATAGCCTTGCCCTAATACTCCGTCATACTGATATTTACCAATTTATCCACATATATATAATATATATATATATATATTATATATAT